ATCTCCCGGCTCAGGCGGTTGTCACCTCTTGCGAGAATTTCGGCCTCGTCGAATTTGAATGTGTGGCCGGATCTCGTTCAATGAGCCGCAACTTGAGAGCTGGCGTCATTTCTCCGCACCGCTGCAGTGTTCGGGCATTATCTTTCGGTGCAGCGACTGCATCCTATAAATACTGCAGCCCCTTGTGCATGAACCACCCGCATCTGCTTTCGTCTCCGATGATGAATTCGTGCAGGAATCCAAAAGGTCAGACTAATAGAGCCCTTGTCCCAGCGATCGTGTCTTCTTCTTCTTCTTCTTCTTCTTCTTCTTCTTCAAAGCTGGCTTCTTCAGATAAATGCGTAGGTGGATTGCAAAGCCGAAAAAAATACGGATGTGTAGACTGCAATGAAATGCCGAACCCCTTTGCATCAATAATTGCAGGCCACGTTTGTTAGTCAAAAGAATGGCGCGGCCGCTAAGCCTGGACGTGTCAAGATTTTTGGTGTAGAATTCCAAAATATTGAATCATTGACTGAGCGCTTTACAACCGCAATCAGCCAGCCATAATCTCCAACGTCGCTGTCGACCTGATTTCACAGGTGGAAGCAAACAAAGTCCATTAAGTCCGCATTTTATACCGGAATAAACGGACTCGTGCGAGAGCTCTCCAGAGTGAAATAACGGCAGTCCCCAGCTGTTGGCCAGACTCGATGTCTTTTCCGAAAGACGTAGCATCAAGAAAAAGTCCCTCAAATTCTCACAGGTGTCACCATAACACAAACTTAGGGATAACTGTCAGCTATGCGACAATCACCGACTCGCTTTCCTCCTCACTATTGTGGGGGAAATCTTCATACGCGACCTTCTAAATCACATGTGCGCAGACTTGGAAAGAAGAGTTAATCTGCGAAAGTCAGTATGGATTCCAAAATTGTGGCGCCATTGGCATGGTCTCCGTCATCCATAAGCTGAAAATAAAGCTACAGGAAATGCCCGCTGCCTGTGTGGATCCGCCATAGGTGTTAAAAACAATAGGCCCCGACGAACTCTGGAGGATCAGGCTGACAATCGTATTTCCTGAACGACTTACACGCATGACACGACAATTATTCAGGGCCATAAAAATAGTTTGGCTTTATTGTGCCAAGCCACGCCTTTAAGGGTGAACATATCTTGCAGTAACAATTCAGTATCCAGCTGAATCTCCGTGTTTTATTGCCCTCCGAGTATTTAGTAGTACTCACAGAAAATTTTGGTCAATAATCATTTGCAGTAGACTTTGGCTTACGGTGTTCTGTTTGCCGGTTAGTTACCGTTACTAACGTCCATAAGGCAACTTTTCGTATTAATTTTAAATGCATTTCCGTCTGCCCGTTGGCATCATGCCACATAAAGTAATTGATCCGATGGCATCCTTGGAGTCAAAATGTTCCACTCGTATAGCGTAATGCAACCGATTGTACAAAAGCAGGATCCTGATAGAGCATTCATTGTACTCCCAGCTCTGCCACGTGTTTCGCAGATGCACACCCCACTGCATGATGCACCTAGGATAGGGGGGGGTTAATCAACTTTTTGCAAAACGTTTTCTAGGTACTACCTCGCAGATGAGGCCCTGATAATTGTGTAAGAATTATTCTGTGCGTTATACAGCGAATTACTTGGATCTATGTGACCAATTCCTGCGTATTTTGCGGCACATCCGAAGTCCAATCGATCAATCAAAAACCTTATCTATCATCGCATAATGCTATTTACACTGTAGGCTTCAGGTTCAAATATGGCTTTGCTTTGATGTAACCCTTGTTGAGGAGGCGGAATATGAGTAGCCGGATTTATGGACGAATTATGCTTGCACTCTTGCTCCGGAAACGCCTTCATTTCCGTTACTACGTTTGCGCCGTCAACGTCAGCCTGCCATGATTTAATTAGGTGCGTCTTATGATTCTTATTATGACTGATGAACGAGCATTGACCTGTCCGATTAGTTTTGACCTCTGTGAGGACTACCGTTAACTGACTTGCCTGACCTTTGTCCCCTCTGTGGTGGTCGAAATTTGCTTACCTCCCCCTCCTCAGCCAGATGACTGAGCAGTGGTTACTGATTGTTCTTAAATTGCTTGAGGCCTTTTGGGCACGACAATGGACGCCATATAGACAAATCGATAAAAAGTGGAAAAAGTGATATCTGATCAGACGTGATGTCAGCCAACAGCATCGACCCATTCGCAGCATCGATAAGGCAGCATCAAGCTTTCAGGCATGTTTCAATTTTAAGTGTTTTTCACGTCTTCTACACGTTTGACGACGACTTGCAAAACCAACGTCGAAAATTTACAAAGTAAAATTTGTTCGCTTTCGCAAATGATTCATTTTTCACCGAATTATGTCCCCTCGGATGTCCGTCTCCCAGTACCTTTATAGTAAATACCAATCTGTTGTGACAGAGAATGGTAGGTGGTGAGGTACTGACTAACTTCGGTTCGCTGAAGTGCCTAAGACCAATCCAGCAGATGCCAGTGGTCACGTAGCTGCCCAAGGGATTTGAGCGCATGTTTTCTTTACGGGCTAGGCTTGCGGTCAGGGTTGTGGTTGGTTGAATGAAGGTAAACAAGCCCGAAACAGTTCTCCGTCAATCTACCATCGTCGAAAATTTATCTAAGAATATTTTACCTAGTAATAAAAATAATAATAAAGCTCTCTATTTTTCCCAAAGATCGTGTGTGCATGCAGATTATATTTCTTGGGATGCATACCTTTCAATATATATGTGCAAAAATATGCGGAGTTTATGTATCGTGTTTCGCTCGTCAGTATTCCCCCCTCAAAAAAACGGAGGAAAGAGGGCGAGTTCGTGCACAATATGTATTCGTAGAGAAGTTTGGGAAAATTTCTAGTTTCCACCACCAATTTGGTGCGTTTGCTGTTTCTGCTCGTATTGAGCCATTTGAACTTGCTGTCCGCCTCGTATTCTAACGAGCACCTTAGAAAGGCGAACATCACTAGAACACTAAAATTGGGCTAAATTAAGTGTTGAGTGCACAGAGAGACTCTCCATACTGGCGACTGAGAAAGGAGGCTCCACAGGTAGAAAAACGTTTGAAAACAGTCTGTTGGTAAAGTTTGTACTTAAGAGAGGTGAATAATTTACCGAAACCTAAAAGTATGTTCGCTAAATGTCTTTCGAATTCTTCAATGAGAACTTTCGCAACTCAAGACCAATAGTTTTAATTGAACTCCTAACATTGCCGGAGAATGATGAGGATGAGGCAGTTTCACGCCAAACGAGACAACTTCGATATGCTGCCCAGTACACTCGAAATGTTTGCGTGGTAATTAAAAGATTGTTGATATTGCATCCTAAAAGTACCCGGTGTTCCTAGGTTTCCGGTAACATGGGCCGAAAGCCTGCATACAGAAAGCGAAAACGCCTGAGGTTTTTGCATTGTGCATGCCCCACGATATCCACATATCCATCACAATGTTCTAACCAGTAAGGTGAAATTTCGAGGGAAAGCACGCCAAAAATCGAACTGATCTTGTTGAGGACATTCAGTTTGCTTTCAGTTCAATCTTTAACATGAGTGAGCGAATGTGCGGGGGCAATGCGGACAGCAAAGACGAATAAGGTGAGTGTACGTTAGGCCTTAGGTGAGGGAGCGGTAGTAATGAGAGCAGGTATGGCCCGAGTCCACATCGCAGGTGTTGACGAGAGCGATGTTGATATTTGTTGGTGCGCCAGAATTGTGTGCAGGGGTGGTGAGTACAGGAGACGCTGCAACGAATGCTAAGGTGGTTGAGAACGAGGATGGTAGGGGGAGTTCAAGTGTGCGGTCAGTGCAGATTGTCGGCGTGTGGGCGAGGCATATGTGGAATGGAGACATCGGGTGGTGTCGCCGGAGTGATGACGATGGTGAAAGATACACTTCAATAAATTCGAGAAATTAGCTTAATGTCACGTATGGCTGTTAACCGAAAGATGACAGACACCGATTAAATATCAAAAAGGGTTTCACGTGTACTTGCAATTCTTTTCTTGTTTTCTGCACTATTCGAGATGCGGCTGTTTAAGGCAAACAGGAATTGGCTTGATAACGCTGATAGGGACATTACAAAAATAAAAACTTTCGTAAGGTCGTATTTTGGTACGTTCGACAGTGACTACTACGCATGAATAGGATTAGCAGGTGCAATCGTAAACACACCACTTTGTCTGTGTCAAAAGGACGTACCTTCCATAAAATTTCTTTGATTTCTCCTTTGCTGAAATACTGTAAGTTTCAAGGCGCCCTCGAAATCTAGGTAAATATTACATCATTTTCATTTTGCCCAATGAACCGCACATAAAGGTGGATTCCGTGTTGAGTGTCATACAGAACACATAGCATATGCCATTTCTCTAAAGCACTTATCAACTCAGTAAGTGCTTAGGTTTTCTCTGTACTGCGGATAACCCCTTGGTCCTAGTTGTAGATTTAATCAGATATGAAACCCTCAAGATATGAATGCCTCAAAATAATCAGTCTCACAACCGCGACCAAGTAATCCTTCCTAATCGGAAACGCACTTCAGAATTTCAGCCAAAATTTCATGAGATAGGTCACGCACTGTAGCATAAATAGTTACAAAGCAGAACCTCTTTTTCACTGGGAAACCACAGAGCGCACATTGCTCCAACTCACAGAGCTTAACTATGTCGGCACTCTAGATAACTCCTAACCCGGATCCAAATACATTAACTGCGTTCAACATCCGACGGATATAAAGAAGAAAGGCGTGTTCTGTCGTCTTCAATCCATCCAATATATGCTGCCTATAGCAGATCGCAAATTTACGTGCTTTAAGTCAAACTTGAGCTGCAATAGTCGTTTTTTAAACTGAGGGGAAGCTAGAAGTATTTAAACCGCGGAATCATTGGTAGCTCTATTGCGGAGATACATTGAGTTACGTATTCGGGCAGACTTAATTTAGTCTCGCAGACTACAATCAGCAGTTAACGATTCCGATGTGGGAGTAATTTAAGCGGCTGGCAGAAGTCTAGAAAGGTGAGAAGTTCATACGGGACAGAAAAATAAATGTACTGCCAGACAGTGTGCTGTCGAGACGTGGGTTCCGCCTGGTCTGACAGTTGTCTGTACGAGACGAGGGAGCTAGACGATCGTGCCTCTCGGCTATTGGATGCCGCACTTAAGTGCTGAAGGCAAGAGAGTGTGTAAATGCAGGTCACATGCTTATCGATTGCGCGCCCGCAGGTAAATGAATGTGGGTGGGATTGATGCGCGCGTGTGCAAATTGCACAGTGAGCACCGATCGCGCCCTGCGTGGCACACTTGGGGACGGGACGAACGGGGTTGTTGTGGTGATGGTGATGGTGGTGGTGGCGGTGGTGGTGGTGGTGGTGGTTGTGGTGGTGGTAGTGGCGGTGGTGGTGGTGTTGATCCTGACTGAAATTCTACCTTCAATCTTTTCCCACGGGCTGTGTACACGGGATAGGGGTGCCTCCGTATAAGACCAGCGACGTCTGTTTACAGTACTAGAGGCTCTAATTTACTGACTGGAGGTGAAGAAGATATGGGTAGCTGGCTGCGAGTTAGATGGAGGTGCTTTTGCAGGAACACAATGCGGCAACATTCAGTCTGTAAATTAATCTAATTTGTCAGGCCGCTGTGCGGCTTCTGCACTGGGAATAGGACGAAATTTTCTTCCCTCTTGAGAACGCTTTCGTCATGCATGAACCAAGTGTTGGCTTGAAACGCCTAGGCTTACCTAGAGCGATCTTGCATATAGTGTGTATTTTTGAGAACGAGAATGATTGCAGCACAGTGGAATAGATAGTCGTCTTCCTCTCAGGTGAAAATGGGTGAAAGGAACTAGGAAATAAGAGACTAGATCTCTGAAATAGGAAGCAAACACGCACACATGTATTTCGGAGAAGCACAACGCATAACGGAAAGAGTTTTGACCAGTTCAATGAGGGGGTTAGACAGCAAAGAGGAGCCGCTTTATTGATTTAAATAAGTCACATTTTCAAATCTGCACTATTCCATGTCCTTTGCAAATACTCAATAACCTACCGCGAAACAGCCATCAATCGGATAGCTATGTCAATTATAAGCATGAGGAAAAAGTGTCGTATAGTCTGCCTCCCACTGACACACAATTAATAAACGGTACGGGCAGAAGATTGAGAGTTTTAGCAATAACATAGTACTTATGTGACCATCCTGCTGCGCAGTTATAATCATAGAACAATGCCTTAATGCAAGTAAATATTACAAAAAATGTCTTCAATATAAAATGGGAGGAAGGCGTGATCGTTAATAGCAGAAACCGTATGTTTATTTTTCAGGAGAGTATGAAAGCCGACCAAACATTTCAATTTGTTCCTTGACCTTACCCTGAAGTATAGCAGGTCCGCCATCGACCTATCATATTCAACTGCTCTTAAGGAGGTGGCTTATTGAAGAATATTGTTTAACCAGTCCACAGCATATTCCTTGACGGCTTTCTTTCTGGTCGGTTATTTTCCCTGCCAATGAGGTTTCATACCTGATTAAATCTACAACTAGGACCAAGGGGTCATCCGCAGTACAGAGAAAACCTAAGCACTTACTGAGTTGATAAGTGCTTTATAGAAATGGCATATGCTATGTGTTCTGTATGACACTCAATACGGAATCCACCTTTATGTGCGGTTCATTGGGCAAAATGAAAATGATGTAATATTTACCTAGATTTCGAGGGCGCCTTGAAACTTACAGTATTTCAGCAAAGGAGAAATCAAAGAAATTTTATGGAAGGTACGTCCTTTTGACACAGACAAAGTGGTGTGTTTACGATTGCACCTGCTAATCCTATTCATGCGTAGTAGTCACTGTCGAACGTACCAAAATACGACCTTACGAAAGTTTTTATTTTTGTAATGTCCCTATCAGCGTTATCAAGCCAATTCCTGTTTGCCTTAAACAGCCGCATCTCGAATAGTGCAGAAAACAAGAAAAGAATTGCAAGTACACGTGAACCCTTTTTTGAAATGTAAACTCCTGCTGTTATTTTTTGGCCAAGCGCTATGCTGGACGTGATCCTATTCCAGTTTATTTATCTCAACGCTTAACAAGGAGCTGTTTTATGAATCCATTTTGTTTGCGCTGTTTTATTTAGTCAGTCGCCTACGTGGACAATCTTTTTGTTCGTCCAAATCTTTTTTGGCCTAACTTTTGACGTTTTAGTAGTTTTGCCTTTATAATTATATGGTTATTCTACTACGCAGACGACGAATTTAATTGTCCTATCACTAGCGAAACAGCAACTGCACCACAGGGATGATGGAAACTGGGAATACTCTGCCAATCGTCTGAAGAATTACAAGTTTGTCCACGAACTCGCCCTCTCTTCTTCATCGTCTTCTTCGGGGTAGGACGGGGTGGCAAGCGCAAAAGGATATCCGGATTTTCAATATTTACGCACACGTATAAATACATTAAAATTTGGAGGACAGAGTCTGTGAGTAGGCTTTTTTGCCCTCATTCAGTCAACCATATCACTGACCGCCAGTTGAGACCAAAATCACAAATATGCTCTCACACACCTGGCGCAACTTGTTCACCATTTCTCCGAAGAAAAATTTATCCCTGACTCGCCACCGGCCATTCTTTGTGCTGCAGATCTAGTATTTATTCGCTCATACATACGGTTAGTGTATTAACTCGTGAAATGCTACCCAAATTCTGCACTGCGCTATCGACTCGAAAAGATTACTTAAGTGGGGTTGTAGCCATATTTACCGTGCAGCATGATTCTATGTTTTTTCAGTTATTTCAGGACGTCTACTTTTGAACGATCTTTTTGCCCTCCCTCTGCAAAAAACGGCACCCTAAAAATGGCTTATCATATATTGTGGATTTTTTTTACTGATTATTGATGCCCTTCAAATTTTATACTTGAAATTCGGGCGCAATTCGGTTTTAAAACCTTTTCTTGTTCTTGAATAATTTTGAACACTGCATGCCGTTGCACTTGCGTTCAAGGTTTCCAAACTGCAAGCCGCATACTCTCCGTTTACAGAAAATCAAGAATTTCTATACGCCATTAGGAGCAGCCGATGAGGTTCACAAAATTTGGCAGTTTATTTGATTTACATTGTGGACTTTACAAACAATATTAGTAAATTTAAAGACATGATGTTCTTTGAACGGGCAGTTCAAGGCCTTAAATATCTCACAGTTTGAAACTTATTGAAAACCAATTAGTACCCTTTCATTAGGCATGAATTTGGAAGAAGGCGTAGTTTTGAACCAAATAAGTAAAACAGTGAGTATTTTTATACATGTTCTCTATTTGGGTTTATATGGGCATCGAAAGTCAGTGAAACAAATTTATGCATTATGAAAAGTCGTTTTTTTGCAGAGTACAGTTTTTTTACAGACGGATGGCATGAACACAGCTTAGTGCACTGGCGTAAATAATGAACATTGCGTGATTACTTGGCTTCCTAGAATTGTAGTGGTTTGTAAATTATTCACTTGGTTTGGATTAAGGTTATGTTTACCACTAAAGGCACTATCGTCACTTATCAGGTATAATTAAGTAAGAAGCGAAGAGGACGTTTGGGACCGCAGATATTCGAGATCATCTAAAAATAAAGAGTTGGGTTAAGGGGAAAGTAGGGGACATTTTCAAACGTCAAGCCCCTAACTGACATTTGGAACCAAAGGTCCATGTACCGACGTAGGATGTGATCTCCCAAAAAAATGAGGACGCCAGTATCGATGCCGCGATTACGGTTCTTTGCCGTAGGCTAGTGAACGCGGAAGTCCAAATGAATGAAACATCGGAGTGAGAAAATTCATAGGGTCATTGAATCCGGGTGTAAAGCGCAATTGAATGTACAACCCGCTGCCGTTGCTGGAAATTTTCGCAAAGTATTCATTAATTCTCACTGTGTGATGGCCTGCAAGGAGAATGAACCTGGCGTCAATGAAAGCGAAGTAACAAATCCCAGGAAGCAGTCGTGAGGGAGAAGACACGATCAAAGAAACAAGAACTTTATTCGCCTGACGTTCTGGATTGCCATTCGAACCCATCATCAGAGACACTAGCAGATACGAGCAGTTCATGCACATGGGGCTCCAGCAGCTACAGGATGCAGTCGCTATGCCACCACATATAAATTGAAATTCACGTCTGTCTCATTCATCATGTATTGATTCACTTTATGTGATGACTGCTTGATGGCTTCTAATCGAGTCAATAATTAGCGCAATTTCATCACGGGTTGGTGTGACGATTGCTCGACTATTTCGCCTACCGATACTGGCGTTGGGAACAGTGTTTGCCTGTGCCCTCCCAACCTGACTAATTACTCCTCCAAGTCAAAACCACAGCACCTAATATGCAAGGGAAGGTCATTATACATGTCAGAAAACTCAAAGGCCACTGAACCATGACTCGAGAAGCTCACGACTCACGCGGTTGTCACATCTAACGGGAATTTTGACCACCACGAATTTAAATGTGTGACCGGATCTCGTCGAATGTGTCGCTACTCGAGAGCTAGCTTCATTTCTCCTCAATGCTGCCATGTGTCCTACAATTCGCGTTGGATTCAGACTTCCGTCTATTTAACGTAGTTACTTTTTCCGCAACTGTATCACATCCTACAAACGATTCCAGACGATTTTTGCCGTCTTAATGGGTATTTCGCTTCGTTATCTGACGCCATAAGGTTGTCTTCGGTCTGTGTATAGCTACGGCCCCAAGTGGTGCAAGAAGACGGCGAACGTATTCATTAGTAAATTGGCTGTTTGCGTCTCTCAAATTCCTGATCGCTGAGTCAATCACCACTGCCACTTCGTGAACACAATTCCAGGAGCAACTTCTAGGGGTATGTCCCCTTCCTCTTCACTTTCAATCCTCATGATCTGGCGATCAAGACCACCAAACTGCCTTAACAAAGCACATACGATGAAAGGGAGAATCTGTATCAAGGCACACTTTACGTTTGACGGGATTATCAACGAGCAGGTGAAGGACACGGCAATGGGTTCGACGACTTCAGGACATTGTAAAAATAGAAGTAAACCAAACCATTAATCTAACCCTCACCCTGAACTTGACATTAATGATAACCCAAACACAAAACCTAACCAAAGTCTTACCCTGAGCCAAAACACAAACCTATATCATAACCTTAACCTAAAATCCTAATCCTTACCTGAACCGGAAACTTAGACCTAACCGTAAACTTAACCCTAATATCTCACCCAACCCTAGCCTACAGCGCTAACCCCACAGCTAACAGCCCGTAAAACCAGCCTGATTGGCAAACCCGAATGCCGAAAGGGTAAGCCGAAGCCTAACTAACGTGCTGAGAAGCCAGAAGAAGACCAAAGTGGCAAATTTTAAAGACCCGCCAAAAGCGAAAATAGTGCGAAAGTGAAAAGCACACAGTGTACCCGAGCCCTACCGTCTCCTAAAGTGGGTCATGCTACATTTGGATGTCACGTCCCTCTTTACTTCTATTCCACATGATCTGCCGATCGTGATCATCGAGCTGATTCTACAAAGCAAATACAATGAATCGGGAAGGCTGCCTTAAGGCCTTCTTCATGTCTGACGGAACAATCTATCGCATAGTGAATGATAAGCTGTGGAAATTCTTCTAGAGCGCCGAATATACAGTAATTGCAGGTAATTGTCAGGTACTAATTCGGAGCTTCTAAATTAAATGTGTTAATACTGGGAAAAATATAGTCCGAGCGTGCAAACACAGTGCTAAGAGTGATAAAAGTCTGAAAATAAAAGAAATACTACAGTCTATGATTTCGCACAGGAAGCAATGGTAGGAGAACAACAGGTACTCATGATTTGAAATAGCTGCGGGACATTGTTTAAGTGGCTGTTCAAGCATCGTTGTCTGCAGTTTAAATCGACGATTGAAGGATACCAAACATAATGAAAAACAAGTTATTGTAAATTCTAAGGAATTCCTTGTAGAACTAAAAGTACTTGTTTTCCTATTACCAATCATAAAGAGATATATTCGTCGACAGTAACACACACTCATCCAATAGGTTATTCTTGGTTTATTTATGTTACTACTTATCGGTACTAGGAAGATTTTACCATTTACTTGTTATTATATATACTATAGAGACAAAAAACGTACTTTAGGGTAAGATGATACCATACCAACAGCACAGGTACTAACCAAAAAGCCCATACACGCGTGTTTCGACGATATTTTGCCGCTGCATGGCGCAGCATCGAGGGGTTCGTCTCGTCAGTGGGTCCCCCAGCATTCCTCATGTGTTTTCTGGTAGATACTCCAATTTAGAAATTGTCGCCTATAGATCTTGAATAGGCGGATCTACTCCAACTTCGAAGATAATTTCTGAGGAAATTAGAAAGCGACAATTTCTAAATTGGAGTATCTACCAGAAAACACATGGGGAATGCTGGGAGACCCACTGACGAGTCGAACTCCTTGCTGCTGCGCCATGCAGCGGCAGAATATCGTCGAAACACGCGTGTATGGGCTTTTCGGTTAGTACCTGTGCTGTTGGTATGGTATCACCTTACCCTAAAGTATACGACTAACTGTATGCTTTTGCACCTACTATGTACACCACATGGAAGATTGCTTGAATTCCAGTTAGGTGTCCCTACAGCATAGGCAGCTGGCAAAGAGTGCAACAGGCCAGACGCAGACAGCTGTTTCACGGTCGTTACCGATCATCAGTACGTCATAGGCCTTATGATGTGAGATATATAAGCAGGTCAAGTGGGCGTTTGACCCTCACTGTTGTGGTAAGGATATCACTCGATCCAATTCTGCCCGCCCGCCAGCTTGTGTCATAGGACAGAGCGTTCGTTGCCGCCATTAGCAAGCTGGGGGCGGACAGAATGGGATCGAGTGAGATCCTAACTACAACAGTGAGGGTCAAACGCCCACATGATATTCCTACAGCAGTCCGCATAAAGTGTATTTTAACCAAGTACTTTTAAATCCTGGGCGGGAGGTCGCCTAGCAAGTTCATAGCAAATGATGAGGATGACTCATGTTGCGGTGCCAACACGCCAAGAATTAAGACGAAACTACATGTCGGTAATTCTTCCACTGTCAAGTAATTATCAGGCTAAGAATAAACGGCGGTGATGAAATCACGGAAATAAGCGACTCGGAAAATAACGGGCAAGCAATCATCGTATGGAATACGGCGCCCAGCGGTAAACATCTGCGCTCTTAATGATTGTAGGCAAGTGGTCGCCTTGCAACTGCGTCGTATAAATAAAAATCTTGTCGTCGAATCTGATCCACGTTGTAATTGTCGCAGTTTCGTTTGGCTAAACATGTATGAAATATTCAACATTTCTGCAGAAACCTAATATTCAATGTCAATGCATAATAACAGGGCCAGGGTTCACTACAACGTGTGATAACATAAAAGAGCTTGTCGTAAACATCATATAGGAAAGAATAGGAAGAAACTTTAAGACAAACCACAGTCAGGAGTTGATGGAAGAATGAAGACTATCAAGGCAATTGCAGATTGATCACATAGTTTAACTGCTTGTAAAGGCCGGCTTTCTCTCGCCGTATGTAGGCTGCATACTAGACCCATGTTTCAGATTACCTATAAAGTTTCATCTCTCTAGGTCGATCGTTGACTACACAGTTTGCCTGTCATAGAACTATGCAATGACCGTGTGCAGCTGAATGAGTGGTCTCGAAATATATGACGTCAGTAAATTCTGCATGCTTTGTCGCCTTTGCCTTGTTCAAATTTTTTTTCCGGGAAAACATTGCTTCAATCTGTGGGGGTTCGAAAAAATCATAAACCATGGTATGCATAGCTAAGAACGCAAACCTCAATTGATTCGCGAGAACATCAGCAGTGTAAAATGCAAGTTGTTGGAATATTGCTTTCATCATAAATTATTTAACAAACGATGCGCGGGACACAGCTCATTCAGACAACAAGTAAACAATGCAGAAGGGCTGAGATGTGTCATGATCGTGCAGCAACCCTAACAAATAAGAACCAAACCATAAATCGGATCAAATTCAGAAGAAGTTTTAAACTGAAGTGCAGAAGAGCTAAATTCGAGGACTTATTTATTTGCACTTCGTTAGCCCACTTAACTGTGCTTGTCCATCACCCCCACAGAGGCCTAGCAGGACTCAAAATAACAGCGAACCCACTGAAAAGTGGTTATAAACAAAAATAACTTCAGAGTCTTCAGGAGACAACATGCTGTTCTCCGGAAAAATCCCACGCGTTCTTTTTATCAGAACAGTGATAGAGCATTAGAGATATTTCCGATCTTTAGGATATTCTTTGTTATTCAAAGAGGGTAGGCTTTAGAAATCAGTAACCATAACGTACGCCAAACCTCCAGTCAATTGGCTATGCAAAACTAGCGAGATGAAGGAAACCTTATGGCTTCGAGACGACAGGCGTTCAGCGTTATGTATACATTTTGAAAACGACATATATATTGATCCTTTTCGACGAGCATACGTCAATCTGCTAGAGCTTGGACCTTGAAAAATTCAATTAGATGAGCCAACATAATTTCTTCAGTGTTTGTCTCGTATAACGAACAGTTAGATCATAACTATCTGAACTCGCATGTGGTTATTTTCAAAAATACCCATTTCCATTCATGAGCAATTATTGATAATACATGCACAAATGGTAAAATACTACTGTCCCGACATATTCAAACGGCTGAGAACTTATGGAATCAGGTCAGTGAGGTAGTTTTTATTTACACGGTGTCTGCACATAAACATTTATTCCTATATTTCCGAAACAACTCAGTGCTATATGTACTAATAAAATTCCGCTAGAAGAAGGTTTCGCTTCGGAGGATCGAAGAGAAAATGGAGACTGTTCATAACAATACACGGTTAGAGTGAACTGAAAGAACCTTGTCGTTGAAATGATAATCTTATCCTCACGAAGTTCTCGATTCATCCTTAACTCCATAATCAGTTGCGGTGGCTAATAAATGCAGCTGGTGCCGACGTTGCTTAATATTCAATGGTTTCGATCATTACAAATCGCATGCTCAAAGACCAGTACCGACATTCATTGACCATGTCTAGATTCGGTGCGATGATGATTTGGCCGCCTGAGTTCGAGTCCCAACTGACCGCGATTACATTAAAGTGTTGATGATTGGTGGAATAACCACCCAGGCTCACCAGTCCCGACAAAATACTTGACCAGGCGGAGTCAAAACGCTGCATTTTTGGTTGTCTGATGGCTGAATCAATAAGCTCACGGGAATTTCGGTCTCGTTGAAGATAAACACATAATATAACCTCGTGGATTCGAGTGTGCAAAAATAGAGAGCGGACGTGTTTACCTCACTTTACTGAAGTTCGTCCGGTCATAGACCGATTTTAGGGACTTCCCATGTCAGCTTCTGAACCAAAGATTTCTACGAAAACCGCTAATTTGACATTTCATATTTTTGACTTCTGATGATGATACCCAAGTCAGTTCGTTTGCACGTTTCTTGGAGGAATTAAAAACGCAAGTTTCCTACCAAAATATCTCGCGACATCTGTTAATTTTACGTCCGGGTGTGTGCTCCCTGATCTGGCGGTTGAAAACATCAAGTAGTGCCCGAGAATCCTGTCCAGTGAATTAAAGCAACATTTTTTCTCTTAGCATTCCCCACTTTCCGAAACGTTGCTGTAAAATTGACCTTCATATGTACAGCGCAACCTAGGAGTACGCAAAAGAGAAGCAGATGACAGCGCTTTCTCAATGCGTATCTAAGAGGGTTGCAATCATCTGTCGCACACCCTTGCGTGACAAATGCTTATGACATTATATAGAGCAATAAATCTGCTAATGATATCCGTCGAGATAATCGGTTCATCATAGGTAAAGTATTGTGAAATACACACTTATACAAACGACACGTTCCGATGTATATTTACGCTTCTCCAGTTTAACCTCTGATTCATATATGCTTCTTGCATGACAACGAAAAACTAAATTTGGTAGTGCTGTTTAATGACCGCGTGTTGACGTTACATGCATTTTAAAAGTCAACATAACTAATTAATAATAATTTAAGAAGTCAAATCCGGCAGACGTTCGCTTATGATTATGCATCATCACACCTATGCAGTAATATAAGGGTAGAATGGCAAAAGTTGAATATCTAATGATAGTCAGTAAGGGGGGAGGGGGATGAAGGGCGTTCGGAGCTCAGTGGCCAGATACTATTTCTGTTCGAGGTCTATGGAGAAGGAGTGGGAGGGTGGGAGGAAGGTGTCTGGCGGTAAGCTATCCGTGTTTCGGCCCAATAACGCGACGTGGCGGGTATGAACACGTATGCTGGGTTTGCTTTACCCAGGGGAGCCTTAAAGCCTGTACAAACGCCTTATTCGAGCACAAGGCTGGGTCGGCTCACCGTATGGCAATTGCCTCTGCCGTCGCAAGCAATCGCTGACGCAGGAAATCGGAATGCTTGTCGACACTACAGATGACTAGGAATGCTTGGGTGACGTCTACCCAGTGGCTGCTGTCAACCAAGTGAGACACAATTACGCTAGAGTTGAACTTCCCTACATCTTGGTTTAGCCAGGCAGCATGGTGCTCTCCCATCCCTTAGATAGACGTCTAGTTGTTCGACCAATATAGCCTTTCTCACAAAAGCAAGTGAAGCCGTAGATGAACATTGAAGAGATCTGAAAAGACAGTCTATCCTTATCTTCAAGTCAAAGAAACGCAGAGCTTCTAAAAATCAATTTTATTCTAGCGGCTGGGTACGTGCCCACGATGGTAGCGTTTAAGCGATGATGTGGGAATTGGCTCGCCGGATCCCCTCGAAATGGCAATGAGAAATAATTCCTTCTCAGTCATCGGCACATCAGATTTCTGAGGGCATCCTTCCACATATTTGTTATTTAAGGTACCTGCTTTATCTCAAATTGGCACTGGACCAAGCTTTTTTCTGGCCTAGCAGAACAAAAATGAAGAAATTTGTGTAGAGCCCTGTCCATGTTTTTTTGCGAAATACTAACTGTTTCATCCAGCATTCGATTGAGTAGAACATTCACTTTATACAGGAAGGTGTTCAAGTCAAGCTTTTCCTTCACTATTGCGAAAATGTCATCTACGTATCGAGCACTGGACAGAACTGGGTGTTTTCGAATGTTCCCAAGAAGGCATCAACTAGTAGTGGTTTATGGGGTGATCCCATCGTAACGCCGTCGATCTGGCGATAAAATTGACCATCGGATCTGAATTGGACATTAAGCGTACAGCGAAAGAGTTAGGATCCCGACTGGGAAATCCAATCTTACAATCTCATCACATGAAATTCTATCGTTTCAGTATGAGGAATATTAGTGAACGAAGACGCGAAGTTCAGTAACAGCATTGTTTTCCCATTATGGTTTGTGTCTTGTGGAATCGAAGAATTCAAATGTGTCCCGTAAACTGCGTGGCGCTATTCTGTGTCGAATTGGCCCAAGCCTTTTTTCCAGCCACTTAGCGATTGCATGATAGGGAAAATTACCTACGTCTTATACCAGCCGCATCGGAAGGTCTGGTTTATGAATATTTAGCAAACCATATAGCCTTAGGTTTCAGAGCTTTACACTCTTGTTTACTAAAAAGACCGTGGCACTTTACTTTCTGAAAACATTTTGAAAGTTAGGCTTATATGTTCTCGGTTTGACCTTCGTTTGCCAAACAAACTATCGAAATGCAAATTGGTGTGCACAAAAAATTGTAAAACAATTTCTGATTTTGCAGATGCAGTTACCTGACAGCAAGATAGTCCGAGCTGATTTATAAAGAATAAGAAGTCTGAATTATAAGTATACTTAGGGAATCCACAAAGTGGAATTAAGATATGAGTTCAGCAGTTCAGTAAGGGTATCTAAACTAGCGAGAGCAAACTGCTTCCTCCGGCGCGTTTCCTACAAGATGAAACGGAAAAGTGTTCTTTAATCAGAAAGGTAACATTTGTTAAAATTAGACAAGTTTGAAGAAGAAATATTTCTGAGGCTTGGACTGGACCAATACGATGAATCCTGTTTACTTGCACAGTTGGAATAGTATCCATTCAGGCGGAGTTCTGTGTGATAAATATTGCAATCGAATAATTATTTTGCTTGATTTTCAGGACGTTGCATGCCGAAGACTTTGCAAAATTATCTCGACGCTCATTCAACAGAGCGGAAACCGACGTCATAAACATATTTAATCCCTGTGGGCCTGCATGTACGACCTTAGTAACTGCAGACATATTCGGCAAAATTTCCATACACAGGGAATATCAAAAACAGAGCAACGTTGGACTGCATGACGCCAAGGCATATGCCTACCTGTTTGCGTCCAGTCGACGGAAACAGAAACAAAATTGTCAGAGTTGATATGCCATTCGTATGAATTCTTGTCCTCATCACCTCTGCGAAAAATTCCGTTGAACCACACTTCCCTGTTCTGATTCCGAGACTTCAGTTCTTAAATTAAATAAAGCAGTTCATATTTGTTTTGCAAACAACAATATGAAATAGACAATTTTATAGTATTAAGGCAGTAAAGTCTACATTGACTGACCGATCTCATGAAATGTTGGCTGAAATTCTGAAATGCTTTTTCGATTAGGAAGGGTTACCTGGTCGCGGTTGTAATACTGATTAGCTTACGGCATACTCTTATAACATATCGGACTCGGCAAGATGTCAGCTTTGGAATACATTGCATTTTAATCTCCTGTAGAAACCTAACTCGGTAAAAAATGACTACTTAAATAGCATGCATTTTTCCCATTGATGTTCGATGGTTTTGCAAATTTAAATATATCTTATAGAAACCAAAGACAAAAATATGCTTTCTTTCAGTCGATTAATAGGGAATTACGTCTTCTTTATATTTTATGCTCGAGGAAGGAGTATAATTAAGTTTTAAAAAAGTTTTCTAACCGCCGAATAATTTAGAGCCTGATCACTCGTTGCATTAGCGGTTAGTGATTTCAATCTAAAAGGTGCATGCGTTTCGCGTAAAGAAAATCACATATTCTTCTATGTCTTCAAAAAATATCATATAGAATCCACAAAATTTTGGAATGGAGGCGGACTATTTTGTACATTTCATGAGGAGCAGCGGTAAACGGACAGGTACGATGCTATGTGAATGGACATCGCACGGTCTTGAAAAATCTCATAATTTGAAACATTTTTTAAACGTAATTATACTCCTTTCTTGAGTACTAAATATAAAGAAGACGTGATTCCCTATTAATCGACTGAAAGAAAGCATATTTTTGACTTTGGTTTCTATAAGATATATTCAAATTTGCAAAACCATCGAAAATCAATGTGAAAAATGCATGCTACTTAAGTAGGCTTTTTTTACCGAGTTAGGTTTCTACAGGAGATTGAAATGCAGTGTATTCCAAAGCTGACATCCTGCCGAGTCCGATATGTTATAATTTTATGCCGTTAGCTAATCAGTATTACAACTGCGACCAAGTAACCCTTCCTAATCGAAAAAGCATTTCAGAATTTCAGCCAGCATTTCATGAGATCGGTCACTCACTGTATTAAATTCCATATAGAGTCTTTTAGGAAGCTAGTTGTGACGATGCTAGGTAAAACGCTGATCAGCTTAGGTATAAGCTCATAAAAGTTCAGGCCTTGATGTCCAACGATGAGTTTAACTGCGGGAAACATTGAATACCCCGTCAGTCAAGCGCAGTGTTTACCGACGCGCGGAACTACGCGTAGTGGAGCCGACTTTCAGTGCGCCCAACTCACTTGACTCATCCCACGTCCTGGATACTCCGTTGAAAATAACTCTTTAGGAGGACATCAAATGTGCGTGGACGCAAAGGGTGACACGACCAAACAGCCCGCCTGCATGTATCGCAAACGCCTACAGGCACACTATCCTGGTCGGATAGATTTGACGATCTCTTCACGCATGCATATACGGGTGGTCTGTTGGAGTCGATACTAGTGAAAACGGAATTAGGCGGAATATCTGGCGTGGCGTGGAAGCCTCCGTCTGCAGTGATCATGTTTATTCCTGTCTCTAATATAAATTGCTGGATTTAACCAAAAACTCCTGACGTCACATTCACCATAACCGCCCTGACAGAAATTGGTCTTTTGAAATCATTTCTGAACATGATGCCTACTCCACAGTACTCACTCTCTGAGGCCAGAAGTAAGCATCAAGATACGACGTATCCTACACCGCGTTAATGTGATTGCCTATCGTCGAGGAGTGTATCACATTGGGAATCTGAAAGGACATTCAGTTGCGAGAGTTATTCTTCTTCTTATTTGGTTTGCCAGTCTGTTGTTCAAACAGAAAATAATGTATCCACACGGTCTCGACGCAAGCCAGATAACGCATGAACGGATCAACTGTGCAACTACCTCAGTCTAAAGAACCAACGGCATTGACAAATTGGAGGTGTGATTTGTGAACCGACCTCTCAGCTGTCACAGAACATTAAATTACCTGGACTGGTTTAAATGCTGAAAGAAGGCTTCCGTGAACCGTCCTAAACGTTACGGTCTAGACAATTAGAGAACAGGCGCCGCAATAATAGTAAAACCATCGGTCGGACTCTCAGCTGAGATATAGAGGGATTATGCCGCGTGATGACTAACATCATAACACCACCTACGTAGTCATTCCTAATCGAAAACGCATTTCAGAATTTCATGAGATCGGTCGTTGGCTGTCTATCTTGGAGGCGATCGAAGACTTTGTGAGCTATAATTGCAGATTCTGGATACGAGGGTTAACACATAGTCCTAAAACGCATTGCCTATGGAATGAATATTTTCAACGGACATTTATAACATGGAAGTTTCTCTTCGTGTACTTTCGAACTGCTGTTTGGCTGTTTATTTCATAAGTGAAGAAGAAGAGTCGAGCACCGGGACACTTTGTTTATTGTCCTGAGCTATCAGACTCGTACAGGAGTCCATCGTCAGAGGTAATATCAGCAACAAAGCAAACGACAGTTATAAGGCATGTAGGCCAAGCAGCGACCGACGGTGCAAGACTGGAGGTGACTACGCAGGGCTCTGTACGCCGGCACCAGATCGATAAATCGATTGACCGAGTTCTCATCCGGGGCCCAGGCTTCAACCAATTGTCGGCCTGTATTGTTTCCGGCGTTGGCGACTATTTTGGTGGCTGCGAAGTTAAACTCGTGACCCATTTCGTAGGTGTGGGCGGCCACTTGCGATAATGCGTCGCCTCGTCGCACAGCCAGCTTATGTTCGTGTCTGCGCGATCCGAGCATGCGCCCAGTCTGTCCTGTGTAGTTACAAGGACAATTTTGACGCGAAATGCGATACACTACTCCAGATCGCTCTTCAGGCTTTAACCGGTCTTTGATTTTCATGACCCTATTGCGCATGGTGGCTTTGGGACGGTGTGGAATTCCAACACCTAGCTCCGCAGCGATGCGCTCGGTCGCTTCTGAAACGCCCTTGATGTATGGCAGGAAATGCCATATCGTCGGTGGCGTTGATGTTCGAGTTCTCATGTGGCGACCGCGTACGCAGCGACTTATGAATGCCCTCGGATAGCCATATTGCACAAATTGGTCGCGGAGATAACGGGTCTCACGTGCTCTGTCCTCCAGTTTGCTGCAATGAGTTTGGATCTTTTTGAAGAGCGTCTTCACACAGCTTCGTTTGTGAACCACTGTGAAAACTGAGAAGCTGTGTGGTGTTCGTTGCCTTGCTATAAACCGTCGTTTTAACTTCACCGTCAAGGCTTCGTTTGACAAGCACATTCAGGAAGGGCAACTACTGTTCCTGTTCTTCTTCACTCGTGAATTTTATATCAGGGAAGACTACGTTGAGCAGGCTGTTGAAATGTTGTAACTTGTTCTTCTTTACGATTACGAACGTGTCGTCTACGTAACGGCGTCAAAACACCGGTTTATGATGGATAAAGACAATGTTTTTTAACTCCTGCAAGACCAGTTCTGCCACTAAACCGGAGACCGGTGAGCCCCTTTGGGGTTCCCTTGATTTGTTCATAGGTCTCTTCAGCAAAAGTGAAGAAAGTTTGTTGGCAGAATTCAAACAGTCTCATGAGGTGTTCAATTTTAAGTGCATTCTGAGTCTCATCGTACTCCTCTTCAAGTCTCTTGCGCAAGACTTCGCGGACCAAGTTTGGTGGGATGGATGTGAATAACGACGTCACATCGATAGAGACCATGATTTCGTCCGATTAAATCCTCCGACCACTGAGGTCTATCAGGAATTGAGAATCTGATTGAACTGAGAAAGTCAAATTGCCTTGGAGGAATTTCGGTTTTGAGTACATCCACTTTGCCAAATTGTAGGTGAGGTTGCCTTTTAGGGCAACGGTTGGCCGAAGTGGGACATTTGCTTTATGGATTTTTGGCAGACTATACAATCGAGGTAGAGCGGTGTCAGTTGTCTTCATTTAGTGCCATTCGTTCTCCGTGATCATATTTTTAAGTCGGTATTTTCTAAGCAGTTTACTCGGCCGATCTGCCACTGCGTTGGCTCGTGAGTTCTGCGCTGGTCTGTAAAATTCTCTGTCATCGAGAAGGGCTTTAAATATTTCATTGTAGTCTTCCCGATTCATCGTGACGGTTGATCGTCCCTGGTCAACAGGTAGAATGATAATTCTGTTGTCCCTCCTCAGTTCCCTCATAGCCTTTGACTCACTCTGCGAAATACATTTGGTTGGTCTGTGTGTCATCAGCAAGGAGGTAACACGTTGTTGGACGGAGTGTTATGTCGGATGTTTCACTTCTCACGAGCATAGCTTCCTGGGCTGCAATGAAGTCGACAGGATCGTTATCTGCAGTGTTCAAACAAGTTTCATGCTGTAACACTCGTAGTTGCTGTTCTGTTAACTGCTTAGACGAGAAGTTGTGGACCAAGTTCGAGCTTTCTGTGCCTGGTGGTTTTAGCTTAGTCAGTTTCCGTTCAAAAACTTCTCTCTTCTTGGCTTGCCTGTGGTGTGCCAGAGCGGAGATCTTCTTTCCAAGATCTGCGGCGATAGAATCGCCGAGAGTGTGGACACATTGCCTTCTGTTCTCCTCGATCTCAGCCTTGTACTTCTGCAAGCGTCGGTGACAGTCATTGACTAGAACTCGTGTCATCTGTTTGACAAAACCGTCTCACAGCATCTATTCCCATGGCCGTATTAACGGGAGCTTTGTATCTCAGGCATGGTGGTGTTAGTTCGTATTGGAGACGTCGGTGCAGAAAACGTAACAAAACCGGAAACAAAACAGGCTAAGAATTGATTGAAGCCTGAGCCTCGGATGAGAACTCGGTCAATCGATTTATCCATCTGGCGCCGGCGCACAGAGCCCCGCGTAGTCACCTCCAGTCTTGCACCGTCGGTCGAGGATTGGCCTACGTGCCTTATAACTGTCGCTTGTTCTGTTGCTGATATTACCTCTGACGATGGACTCCTGTACGGGTCTGAAAGTTCACGACAAATAGAGGAAGCCAAAAGTTTCGTTGTTTGCGGCTGTGAAAAAACACATAGACTTACGGCAAAAATCATGATCTCCACTAATGAGCTCCGAGTCTTTCCAATTGCAGAGAATCTCATCTTTATCCCATAATCTAATCTATAATGCAAGAAGAATCATTCTTTCTATATGTGCAAACCAAAATGACCAGCAATAAACTTTAAAATTAGGATCAGGTTGCTTTGATTCGGCAAACTGTCGCATGCATGTTAAAATTGGACAGATCACTGCGGATTACCCTCCACGCATATCACATTAAGTCTCATTTTCGTGCAGATTATACTGTCAAATGACTGATTTGGGTCTTGGGAACGTCCGAAAACAATTAGAATTTTGACACATACACTACTAGGGCTCACTCATGAAATGTTCACCAAAATTCCGAAATGAGTCTTCGTTTTGAAAATATTTATTAAGTAGGGTTGTAAAACTAATCATTGTGCAACATAATTCTATAATAATTCAGTTACCTCAGAATGCCGGCTTTCGAACAAAACCTTTTTGGTTGCATGCAAAAACTATACTCTATAAAAATGATTGCTTAATTCACATGTATTTTTCTCACTGATTTTCAATGTCCTTAAGCAACCAATTATATAACGTGGGAAACATGCATACAAATATTGATTCTTCTGCTCATTCGGTAAAAAATTACGTCTTCTTGCAATTGTATACTCGAAGAAATGACATAATTTGATTTGCAAAAACTTTCTCAATTCTCGAGTAATTTTAAATCCGACCTGCAGTTACCTTTGCATTCAGGGTTTCAAAACTACAAGGAGTGTATTTTCCGCGTATTGAAAACCATACATTTCTTTACAGTGTTAAGAGGAGATCATATGGAGTTCAAAAATTTAGCAGTGGATTTGAGCCATACTGTTAACTTTACAAGCCAAATTGGCAAGTGCAGAAACATGACGTTTTATGAACGGCCATTTCACGGTATTAAGAAATCTCAAAATAAGAAACTTTTTAAAACGGAATTATACCCTTCTCTCCAGTATAACATTGATGGAAGACGTATGTTTCTACTGAATTGCCAAAATAATGAATATTTTTGTGTCTTTGTGAAATATAATTTAATTTTTAAGGCCAGCGAAAAGTAGCGAGAAAAAAGCATGCTACTTAAGTAGTCCTTTTTCGAGAGTATGTTTTTGCATGCAGCCGAAAAGAAGTTCTTTCGAAAGTCAGCATCCTGGGGTAACTGAATTTTTATAGAATTATGCTGCATGATGATTAGTTTTACAACCCTATTTAATTAATCTTTTCGAAAAGAAGACGCATTTCAGAATTTCGGTCGACATTTCGTGAGTTAGTCCACCTACTGTATGTGTTCGCGTATAAAGCTAAGCTGTTCAGATGGCGTGCGATGGTAAATTTAAAGATAAAAGCGTACGTTGCAAATGTACGCCGCATTCTACTGGAGAAATCGTCAATCTCTAGATTTGTTGTGCACTCAATATACACATCCGCATAGTAATTGATTGTCAAACCAACATTTGAAAAGAAGGACTGATGTTCGAGAAGATGTAATTACTTTGGTTAATAACGATAAAACAGGGTTAGTCAAATTGTTCAATTCCATACTGGCTTAATGATGGACAAAAATCTTCATGGTCTAATCCGCATTATGTTAAAGCTTAAATGCAGATTTCTACAAACAGCAAGTTCTTGTCGTTCGGTCATCTGGCAAAATATAGTGTATTAGATAATACCTATTCATCTGCATTTCATGATGTATATATGCTAACGTAAGTCACTATACTAGCCGCCCTGGCGTTATACAAATGCGTTTTAGTATAAAATAATCTTTTCTTAAAATTTTTTCAAAGCACTATCAGAATTTTATAACATCAACTTACTGCAAGATTGCCTAATCTTCCAACCGCTGCAAAGGTAATGTTAACCACGTCATGTCCTTTCATAAACCTTGACAAAGGTAACGAGGGTTCCAGAATAACTTCACCTGAAACAATGCATGTGTGGTTTACAGGTGAGGCGGGTTAAGTTTTACCTTAAGCGACTAAAGAACTCTAAGTCTATCCAATGTTTTCTTTTGATGTTCTTTATAATTTAACCGAACTTGTCAAGAGTTTACCAAATGTAGTCGTGACGGATTTGTTTATACCTGCCAACGGTTTTGGAAGAACGCAGTTTTGGACAAAAAATGTGATGAGCCAGATATCTCCAAACACGGCTAATTTCTTGTAGTTATTAAGGGAGGAAAGATTGATTTCTGTCAGAAATCCCGTAGGACCTAAAATATAAATGGAGGTTCATTATTCATGAAATTATTACTCCGATAAACGAAAGATTAGGCTAAACACCAATTGTCAGGAGGGAGCTGTTCTAACTGACTCATTCGTATGCCGCTCTAACGACGCGTCTACACGCCGTCCTGGCAATCCGCTCACACGACTGGAGGGGCTCTGGCCACTCAGACGAGTCGGAAGACCAGTCAGCATGGAAACAGCTCAAGGGCATGGTCTGATTGGCCCAATGCCAAGCCGTCCTTTGAGGTTTCTGTATCTACCTTTTATCGAGAGATTTTGCTGTTAGGGTTTCAGCACTAGACTCACACTCTTTACGCTGATGTTTAGTTCTCTCTTGGATATTCGATTGCAGAGAGTTGTAGACCGGGCTACTAGCTAAGCGTTACGGCCAGAACATGAAGCAGATATCCAAAGCTGATGAAATTCCTAAAAATAAAATTAATTATGCTTAACCAGTCGGTTATTCTCAAAAAATCGAGGTGCGTCAAGCGAAAATTCGACTGCAGCATGGGATGAGTATTCCTAAGCATTAAATTCAGCTAATTTAGACTGCTTGAGGTCTGTCACGTGGCTCCAGAAATGGCAGACACTCGCGCAACTAGGTCGTGTAAATATTTGACTTACAAATACTCGGAGCGATCAAGAGAGCGCCGAATTTTGAGCAGAAAATATATTGGCCTAGAGCAGCAATTGCATAACGTCGGACATTTTTAAATGCGTGTATGGATGATTCTGCGGGGCATCTGACTTCACAAAATTGGAATGCATTCTGCAGAATGCGGGTGGAAATGACCAGACAATCTGATCAAATAGTTTGGTATTTAGGATAGAGCATTAAGAAAAATACACTCGTTACCTACTTTTTGTTACAGAACATGGCTTTCCAACTTCTCTACCTTGTAGATTGCAGATTCCATTTTCGACCATCATGAAAATACCGTCAATCCTTAAAAGCTGAAATTTAAATTGCAAATTAAAAACCCCAAGTATGGTCTTGACGCAATCATTATTTATATACCTTGTGTAATAATTGCGACGTAACGAAATCAAGTGCTTATGCCATTGGGAAACTGCAAGTGTAATCATATGTGCAAACTCGATCTATGCTGACGGAAAGCGGCTTCATAAATGTACAACAAAATATAAATGCAATAGACAATTCTCTATCACGTTTGCATCTGGGAAAATATCCACGTGTCCCTGGTCATTAGAATTTGCTCGTTTTGGTTTCGTATTATTGCAGGAAGTTTCAATAAGAATATTCAAAATAGCGGAATGAAGTGAATGCATACGGTAGACAAGGTTTCAAGGAAAATATCAGTCCAATGTCAGCTGTTAGTATCGATTGACTAGATTATCAAAAGCATATGTGCAGGTTCTCACGAAGGATTTGTTTGTATTTGGCAATTCTAATCCTCAAAGTTCGTATCTATTAAATAACACACACCTTTCTTTTCAGATCAATTGCTAACGTAAATCTTCCGGCCAGACACGTAGTGCTTCTATACTGCAATGTGAGGTTAAGCTCAACCCAAAATATTCAGATCAACCCGAATCGACGGTTTTCACAATGTAAGAACATAAAAAATCGATGAGGACATTTGTGGAGCCACACAAGGCCGAGCACATGTTCAGAACACTTTCTCTAGTGGGAATGGCCTCGCTTCCCCTGACAGGCAGCAAATGACTTGACGTAATGTGTTAACGATCCTTGCAGTAATTGCGATGCATAGGCGTTTACCCTCCATTCAGGCCGGAATACAGCCACGATGAGGCTGCCATCACTCGCGTGCAAACGGGTCTTATATTTACTCATCTTGTTTGCGGTGATCATCTGCTCATCGAAGTTGAGTGTGATTTATTCCTCCACGATGAGACAAACCCAATTCGTCTGCCTCTGATACTTGTGACTGTACATCATTCAAAACGTTCACCAGTTTCTCCAGGGACACTCTTAGTTTCCCACAAGAATAAGTGCATAAACGCGTTTCAGGGTCTACCAGCATTGTCCTGCATATTCTCCTACATAATTCAATACTTCGAGCAATATTATCGACATATTCGGCTTCGTAGCCCCAACAAATGCAGTTAATTGGCGATTCCGTCGCCACATTACTCATGGACGCAGGTTCAACTTCATAAATTGTCTGATTTAAAAATGCTGAGTAGCAACATGCTTCAGAAATCCGTCCCGCGAATTTGCAATAGTACCTCTTGTTTGCACCTCTCTTCTCCACTTTGCGACCATTTCCCGTATGCATCCCTAGAAGACTTTGATTTTATAGCTTGCTGCATAACCTTTATATCACCGTTCCGTACGCGTGTGAGCATATTTGGCTGTTCTGACTTGAGAACTTTCCGCCTCGTGACCGCTCCAACACCTCTGTATTAATCAGCGCAAACTATGTTGACCCGCAGTGTCGACATAATTAAAGGTATACATTTGTGCTACAGTCTGGAACTGCGTCTCTTTCATTTTAAGTATATTCAAGAAAATTACAAAGCGTTTTGTGGGCTTAGCCGTCGCGTGAATAAATTCAGAATGCTTAGCTACGATAAGCATTTACACACCTTTCATAAACTGATGCGGATTTTGTTGTTTTTAGAGTACATATTTGGCAAAAGTTGATTAAATGCTAATTACAGGTTTATCCGGAGTCTCATAGCGCAATGCGGGCGAGAGACCGCGTGTCTCAGTGACCACGGACGATCCCCATACCTTTGGCGTCTCTCTACCTGTAGAAGAGAGAAAGAGGGCTGCTTTATTTTGAAAACAACTTTCAAAACTTTCAGCAAAAACGGTTCTCCAGTACACAGTGATTACCATACAGATTAACAGGTTTTGGACAGACAGGTGGACATGATTATATATGAAGAAAAAAGGACTTTAAGGTGCAAGATCGAGTTTTAGTAATTCAGAAGGTCAAATAAAATGTTCATGGAATGAATTGAAATAAATATTATCTTCCGGGTTATGCAGGTGACATAACTGTACGAATCTCTTGTATCTGCCCGTCGTTGCGTTAGGAAATAATTTTTTGCAAGAGCAATCTTTTACAATCGTTAATAAACCCTACGGCCTCTACCCTTTTTTCAAGAATAAGCTTTGAAGAAAGCGTAAAGGAATATATGTTTTAATGCATGTTATCTATGAATAAAATTTAAATTTATAAGGGCATCGAAAATCAATAAGATAAGTGCCGAAAGGAAGTTCGTCCAAGAGCCGACATCCAAAAGTATCTGAAATAGCTCGATATTATGCTGCACGGTGACTAATATTACAACCCTTCTTAAGCAATCTTTTAGAGTCGAAAACGCATTTCAGAATGCCGGTTAGCATATTATGAGTTAGCACATCTACAGTGAAGGGGTCACATTTCTGGGTAGATGTAAGAGAGGCCATTGCGTGTGCTGGTGGATTACGGGTTAGAGAAAAAGGAATCAAGTAGCTGGAGGGCACCTCGGTCTCGTCATAATGCGGGACCATGAACTGTGAATGAAACTTGTGCAGACCGTAGATGTTATTCTTCCTTACTGCTGACGGATTTGCTCTCACGACCCGATACTTCCTCCTGCCGGCGGAAACAAAGAGGACGCTTACATTCGGCCAAATCTAATCCTCAAGAACGCACTAGTAAGACGGTTGATTCAACATCTCTCACTTTTACCTTCGGTCCAAACACTTTAGTTAGATGGTCAACATGGAACCCTAATAAACCTAAGGTGTTAAGTCTTCAGTAGAACGAGATCATGGTATCCGTTGATTCCATATTTATCTTTAGTCATTATCCCTAGTACCTGACGGCCAAGACAACATACTCGATACTAAAGATTAAACACGATGAAATGAGACATCAGCTTTGATACGATCGAAATTCCATATTTATCGAGGTTCCTTAGGCAACACCTTCTGGACTTACTCCAATAATTGTGCTGACGTAGATACCGTGATGTCTGACTCAATTGTCAAGAAACTAAGACATCGGAACAACCACTTTGCTAATCCGTAGGCTGGAGTACGTTTGAGCGAAACGATGGGTCGGAGAGGAGCCCCCTCCTTCTACACCTTAGGTAGGCCAGAAAATCTGGCCAAAGCCGTATCCCGGGGTCCCGTCTGTGTCTGTCGATCGGTGTTATTACACCTGAGTGGTTGAGGGTCAACAATATAGCACTGATTTTGCACGGCAGCGTTTCTACATGGTTGGTTGCACATGGTAGATAAAATTGTCGGTCATCCAATAAAACTTTTACTTTTTGAATGAGGTCTGCTCAGTCCAGTACACCTGTGGAACGCCTCTTGTCCGCTGGCACAACGACGAGGTCCTTGTCAGTCTTAAGTCTTAGTGCAGTTGCAGACGAAGTAACTTCGTCGGAGAAACCGGAAGACTGCTCCGAACGCTAATGGCTGAACACGCGACAGCAGTAAGGAGAAACGACGCCAGCTCTCAAGATCTGGAGATCCGCCCACACATTCGAACTCGACGAGGCCGAAACTATCTTTAGAGATGACAACCGCATAAGGCTTTAGCTTCTTAAGTCATAGTTAACTGGCCCTCCGGTGTATTAGCAAGCGCCCTCAACTACCCCCTCCATATTCTGTGCCGTTTACGCGTAGGTGGAGTAATTTTCCATGCGGGGGCGCACAAGCGAACACCGTTCTCAACTCAGAGTTTGTGGGCCAGATGGTCGAGCAGTCATTATACAAACATCCAACACCCGTGATAAAATTGCAGCGATTATCGGTGTAAATGTCGGCCATCAAACAGTTATCACATTAAATACAACAATTCATGATGACGGGGGGCGTGAGTCTTCATCTGTATGCGGTAGCATGGCGACAGCATCCTATAAATACAGCAGCTCCTTGTGCATAGTCTGCCCGTATCTGCTATTGTCTCTGTTGATGGATTCGAGCAGGAGTCCGAAACGACAGGCGAATAAAGCTCTAGCTCCAGCGATCGTGCCTCCTGCTCCAACGTTTCACAATTGTCTAAACTTAGGTATATTTTGCAATACACACCGACACGGTTCGATTGGTATACACAACCAAATAATGAACCCATTTCGGTCAGACATCCGTTATGGCATG